AGGATAGAAAACTCAGAAGAAATGGACAGATTCCTAGATATGTATGAATTACCAAGGTTGAGTCAAAAAGATATCAAATCCATGAACAGCCCAATATCAATTAATGAAATTGAAAACATGATTAAAAACCCACCGACAAAAGTCAGGCCCTGATGGATTCACAGCAGAATTTTACAAGAAATTCAGAGAAGATTTAATACCAACACTCCTCAAACTCTTCAATGAAATTGAAAAGGAAGCAATTTTCCCTAACTCACTTCTGGAGGCAAACATCTAGTGATACCAAAACCAGAGAAAGACCAAACCAAGAAAGACAACTACAGACCAATCTCCCTAATGAATATAGATACAAAGATACTCAATAAGATACTTCAGCAAATTATCAAGAAAATCATATATCACGACCAAGTCAGATTCATTCCAGGAATGCAGGGTTGGTTCAATATTCGCAAATATATAAATGTTATATGCCATATCAGTGGAGCCAAAGACCAAAACCACATGATCATCTCAATAGATGCAGAATAACCTTTTGACAAGGTCCAACATGCATTCACGACAAAAACTCTACAGAAAATAGAAGGAGATGGTCTTTACCTTAACCTGATCAAAGCCATCTATGACAATCCAACAGCAAACATCATTCTCAATGGCCAAAAACTGAAAGCTTTTACTTTAAAATCAGGAACAAGACAAGGATGTCTGCTGTCACCACTCCTGTTCAATGTAGTTCTGGAAGCACTAGCCAGAGCAATTAGACAAGAGAGAGAAATGAAAGGAATAAGGATAGGAAAGGAAGAAGTAAAACTATCACTATTTGCAGATGACATGATAATTTACATGGAAGACCCAAAAAACTCCACTAGAGGACTCCTTGAATTAATCATCAAGTTCAGCAGTGTAGCTGGATACAAAGTGAACACCCCAAAATTGATAGTATTCCTATACACAAACAACAAACAGAGTGAGAGAGAAATTAAGGACACCATACCTTTCACAATAATATCCAAGTAATTGAAATACTTAGGAATCAAGCTAACAAAACAAGTACAAGATCTATTCAATGAAAACTACAGTACTCTGAAAAAAGAGATCAAAGAAGATTTCAGCAAATGGAAAAATATTCCTTGCTCATGGATAGGAAGAACCAACATTGTGAAAATGGCCAGGTTCCCAAAACTGCTATACAGATTCAATGCAATTCCCATTCATCTACCATTAGCATACCTCACAGATCTTGAGAAAACATGCCTTAAATTCATCTGGAACCAGAAGAGACCCAGAATAGCAAAAGCAATCCTGGACAACAAAGATAAGTCAGGTGAAATCACAATCCCTGACCTGAAGTTATACTACAAAGCTACCATCATAAAATCAACTTGGTACTGGCTAAAAAACAGACTGAGGATCAATGGAACAGACTGGAAGAAACAGACACAACCAAAAACACACTCAGCCACCTCATCTTTGATAAAGAGGCCAAACAAACTCACTGGAAGAAATATAACCTCTTTAATAAATGGTGCTGGAAAAATTGGCTTGGTACCTGCCAAAGCCTGAAAATAGACCCAAGTCTATCACCGTGCACCAAACTCAAGTCAAAATGGCTCACAGATCTCAATATTAAAACAGAAACACTCAATCTATTGGAAGAGAAAGTAGGTAAAAACCTTGAAGACATAGGGGTAGGCAGAGAGTTCACGAACAAAAACCAAATTGCATGTGAAACACTTCAAAGAAACAACAACTGGGATCTCATCCTACTGAAAAGTTTCTGCACATCTAAAGAAATCACCAGCAGAGTGAAAAGAAAACCCACAAACCTGGAAAAAATTTTAGCTGACTGTCCCTCAGACAAAGGGCTTCTATCTAGAACATACAAAGAATTTAAAAATATCAGCCCCCCCCAGTTCAAACACCAAATCCAAAAATGTGCAGCTGAGATGAACACACATTTCTCAGATCATGAAATACAAATGGCAAATAAATACATGAGAAAATGTTCAAGATCATTAGTCATTCGAGAAATGCAAATTAAAACATTGAGATTCCACCATACCCCAGTAAGAATGGCTAGCATTAAGAAATCAACCAATAACAAGTGCTGGTAAAGCTGTGCAGTAATAGGAACTCTTTTCCACTGCTGGTGGGCATGCAGACTGGTGAAAGCACTGTGGAAATCTGTTTGGAGATTCCTCAGAAAACTAGGTCTAGAGGTCCCATTCAACCCAGCTATTCCCCTTCTGGGTATTTTCCCAGAAGATCTAAAAACATCATATCACAGTGATGTATGTGCACCTATGCTCATAGCAGCACAATTTGTAATTGCTAAATTGTGGAAGCAACCCAAATGTCCATCCACTGAGGATTGGATAAGAAAATTGTGGTACTTTTATATAATGGGAGCTATAAAGAAAGATAAACTCGAGGCTTTTACAGGTAAATGGTCACAACTAGAGACCATACTTATAAGTGAAATAAATCAAACCTGCATGTGGAAGCACCACATTTTCTCACTAGTGTAAAACCTGAAAGAGTTAATTTAAACTCGGAGGTATGACAGACATTGTGAAATGATAGGAAAACACTCAAGGGTAAAGGACAACTGGGATGTGGGAAAAGAAGGGAAAGAAGGAGAAATTTTGAATGTAGATATATACAGGATAGTTAACATTGTTGTTCTACTGTTGTCTATTTGTTTGCTGAAACTGTTAATGAGTCCTTGATTGGTCAATATTGCATGTCTCTATCTGTTTTCATGAGAGCCCACTTTGAAGATATCAGTATGTAATGCAACAAGCATTGTTAATTTCCTACCACTTTGTTTGTAACTCTGTATTTTCCATACTGTTCTTTTGCTATTTTGTAAAAGGTTATGTCTCCATTAATGTTTTCCTCCTTTTATTTTTAAAATAAAAAAGAGAATGTATTACAGTAGCAGATATATTGCGATTAACTCCCACTCCTCACTTGCAATGCCAGCACCCCATCCTGACCACTTTCCGAATCATCCCTGAAGTCCTCTTTCACGTCTTTATGAGGTGTGATAAAATATTAGGTAAAAGCTTCCATGAAGTGCCATAGAAAAGGATTTCAGGCTTATAAAACATTATTTTGTGTTTTCATCTATCTTATGCGTGGGATCTGACCCTATGAGACTTCTGGCTCTTTCTCAAAATGAAGATAACCATGAAACATAAAGAATTTTAACTTGATTCAAGACACCGAGTTAGTCACAAGAGAGTAACTCATGAGAAACGACTGTCAGACATCTTTAGAAAGGGACAAAAAAGATGGGATGTATGTTTTGAGGGGGTTAGTGGAAATATTTTTCACTCTAATAAGTTATTAATTAAAAAATTCACCATGTATGTTAGTCACACCTGTATAACAAGCTATATTTTCAACATTATGAAGCAAATGAAAATGAACAGTCATAATATAGTGTGAAATGTGCAGTCAGGAATGGAGTCCTCCTTTCATGAAGAAGACATAAGATAATTTAGAGGGACAGAATCCTACACAATCTGGAGAAGCAAGGCAATAATGAAGCTGTAGTCGAGGCCCCACTATGGACTGTGTCTTTGAGAACGCATCACTGGTACTGTGAATCATTAGTGTGTGACAAAAAGGAAATGCAGAATCAACAAAAAGGAAATGTGAATTTTAGGGGCTGGTGAAACAAACGTTTATTCTGGTTAAAATTATATCTTGTTAATTTATGCATATCATAGGAATTAGGGAAACTATAAAAAAATTTATGCAAAATATGAATTAGAGACCCAATATCTTAAAAATAATTAAACTCTAATATAAAAAGTAAGCGACAGGTTTACAGAGAAGGCAATAAAATTTGTGCTAGATGCATGCAGAGGCTGTCTTGCTCTCCTGCTCTGCCTTTCCTCTATTATGAAGAAAGTGTCTTAGGTTCTTTTTCACTATCTTCCCTAGCATTAATTCCTCCCAGGGTCCTTACTGTTCTCACAACACACGTCCAAACTGCATTTCTCCACAACACATTCTCCGTCATTGAGGATAATTACCTTTTATATTCACTCGCCTTGTCTGTGCCGTTTTCTTCCTTCTTCAGATGTTGAATGGTTTCTGCATGCGGGGACTGCTCTTCTAAATTTGCCTCGTTCTACCACAGTCCCACTAGGCTGTGCTGCCTCCCATCTCTAGTTACACTCATCCCTGTAATTTGTATGACATTGCCTCATATTTTCAGTATTTTTTCAGCATCCTATCATCAACCAGAATAAACGTTTGTTTCACCAGCCCCTAAAATTCATGTTTAAAATTATTTTCATTTTACAGAAAGACAACATTTTCCTCCTTGTATCAAGAACTCCAACTTCACCAACAGAGAACCCCTCATAAAAGTACTCAGAAGGACAACTTGTAGTAGAAAATATTCTAGAGTTCTTTCCAAAGGGTTTGTATATTTTCTTGAATATATAGTAAATGGTATTTCAACAAAATTAAATTTAGATAATATAAATATACTAAAAACTCATATTACTTAACTCAATTAGCAAGCCATTGCTTGTCTCCATGTGACAGCGTGTATCTTTAGATCTTTCTGGGTCTCATTTCTGACCTATGTGACTTTAGAACTGTAAACTTTAACAGACTATTTTTATTAGACTTTTCTTTTTTAAAAGTAATTTATAATTAAGTATATTCATGTATATGTAGATTCTAAAACAAATAATAGCACGGTAAAACATACAATTTAAATGCTATCTATTTGTGAACCTCTGGGCAGGAAGGTAATGTATTGAGATTATCATTAAACTTTAGGGCTGTTTGATGTGTTGAGTCAGCTACACGTGGATACAGGATCCCATCTGCTCTGCTTGACGTTCTATTTATTATCTAGGGCCCAGCACTGGACTAGGTACGCTATAGGTTCTTGGTAATTCTTTGTTAACAGATTCAAACATTAAAAATCATTTCTCTTTTATTCTCAAGGTTAAGCCATAAAAGGAAGAATTGTAGAAGTCGAATATTTCATGTTTAAAACTGTGGTTCAAACAATTGTGAGTTATAACTCAGTTTTCTGCTGTGGGATTTTACAAAAATGATATTGGATAAGAGCAGGCATTTATGACTATGCCTTTAGTCTTTCTGACAACATAGTTTCACCATAATTTGGAAAATTCTCAGTGGAGTATGTTTTCATTATCTTACAAGGAAATCAAAATGTTTGCGTAAGTGATGAGAAACCACTCTGAGCAGTGGTTCTTCCTTTTACCGCCTTTTTTTTTTTTTTTTTTTTTTACAAAAGTAAGTACTGTGGCCCTTAAAATGCTATTAAATGTTTATACTTTTAAAATTATGTATACCTTTTCTAATAATAATTTCTTGAATCTTTTTTCAATAGAAATGTGACTACACACTAATGCTTATTGTTTAATTCATTTAGTTTTTTCATTGAGCTACTATTTTCTGAGTTTTTGTAATACTGCTTTTGCAATAACCCATTGAATGCCATTGTCCTAACCCCTAAGGAAGTTTGATGAATAGCTGAGATAATCTAGCACTGACCACAGACTAGGGTGTGCTGCTTACAGTGTCCCAGGCTGAGGGTGTTCTTAAGTGCTCTGCCTAGATTTCTATTTTCTTGGTGCCCATTAAGCCATCCTGAAAATCATGCAGACAGACTAGTTCATAGGTTGATGAAGGCACTAATTCATTCATATTTTAGATCACCACCCTCATACAATATGTAAACAGAAAATATGAAAGGTACCTGTGCAGGCAGAGCAAAGAAAGTGACCCGTAGGTTAGTGATCAGAAGAAAAGAGAAGTCTGGGTGCCCTCCTCTCTTCCTTCTCCGGTTTGGGCTTCTTAGAGTTTATAATAAAGGAAGAATCAAACTTCTAAGAAATTAGCCCGCCTCAGTGCATAGGCTTTGGAGTTTTCATAGTTCAGGAGCTTTGTGCGACAGCCAGGAGCTGATGACGCACACCTCCGCAGCGGGCGGAGGCACCGATATGTGCAAGAAATGTGAACGTGGCCAAGTCTTTATTCCTAGTGAAGCAACAGGAAAGTCTGCTACATGAGTTTCTTTTCTTACCTGACAAGCCCCTCCAAGTGATGATGTTTCAAACGCCACCATTTAAAAAAAAAAAAAGAGGGTTGGTTTTTTTCCCCTCCAGAATGTAGAAAGGCAGCGTCTCAATTTTCTACTGGGATATTTCTCTCAAGTAAACTTTAACATGACTAATATCTTGGTGTAATTGTGATCGAGATTATTTCGAGATTATTTTCCTCTGCTTCCTCCCTCCTTCTGTCTCACCCCTGGATAAAGTGAACTGTTCTTTCTATAGTCTGGCTGGTCATGGAGATGGAACGCTCTCCTCTCTTAGAAAATTAAGAGTGAATAACATATATATACACTGTGCACTGTGTTAGGTATGTATTATCCTAGAGTGTTTGTTGTATGAGTTTCTTGCCCTTGAATCTAGCGGTAAGATATTTCACTCTGTTCATTCAAATTCTTTGTATTTGGGCTATGTCACTTGAGAAAATTTTGGTTAGAATAATCCAGCTTAGCACTGATGGGGAGCTTAGTCTGGCGCAGCTCTGAGAGCAGGAACAAAATCTTCAGTAGGCAATGTGAGAGCCCTTACTAGAATTGAGAAGATGGAAATACAAGAAAAATTCTTTTTATGAGGTTTCATTTCAATTTCCCTGTAGGAAATAAGGAAGAAGTTGGCTTTGCTGTGCAATGCATTGAACTGTCAGATCACAGGAGAAAGTGGCTATCTGAAAAATACTGAGTCTTCCAACCTCGAACTATGAATGTATCTCAGCTCCCTTCAATCTATTTTTCCCCATCAACATTTTCTGCTACTGAATATAACAGTGTTATCCTTCTTCTGTTAAACTTACTTTTACATGCTTTATTATTTTTAATGCTGTCAGATTTTTAAATTTTATTTTACAATTGTTGATTACTAGAGTATAAAAATAATTTTTGTATTGATCCTGTACCCTATGTTCTTGCTAAAGTTTATTAGTTTTAGTAGTTTATTTTACTGTGGCTTTCTTGATTTCTTTACATAGGATTATTTCCTTTATGAGTAGAGACTTTCTTCTCTTCCATATACTTCTTTCGTGTGTGTTTATTGAAGCTGGCTTGAACCTTATTATGTCAGAGAAAATTTATTTTTGTGGACCATTGTCTATAGAAATAAGGTTTTTAGTTAAGTCTGGGAGGGAATTTATGTTTCTCAAATATTGGGACTGGGTTTGAATTCACGTAGGTAACCACATTAGTGGTGTTCCACATAAATATCTCCACGAATCCTCACATTCCGTGAATTTTTGGAGACCTCTTGTTTTTGCTTCCCATGTCTAGTAAATTCTTTGTTGCTATCACCTTGAAATTTTTACTGCATGCTTGTGTTCTTTGTGCTTAATCTTCCTTTGGCCAAACAACTATGAAGATGAACCTTTCCATGGACTAGACATTTATTTGTGTAGAACTTTTGGTTCTTCATAGAGAAAATCATTAAATAAATATTCTCCAACAAAACAAACTTAAAACCAAATACTAGAAGTTGACAATGTTCTTTTTTACTGGTACATTTTAGATATACATAGTGATCTCATTCATCATAGGGAATTTGTACCTGTACACGATCTATCTTGCTTTTTTTTCTTTGCATTCCACTTCCCTCCCTGCAATCCCTCTTACCCTCCTTATTTGCAAAAGCTTTCTTTCCTTTTATTCCTTTTGTCATTTATTTTTTCTTTTCCTTTCCTTCCTTTTCCCCACTCCCCTCTCCCTAGTTCCCCTTCTCATTTGAATATTTTCTTCTTATTTCACAATATCTATTACACATTTTGGTCTTTATTTACACTTTCAATTTCTTACACCAGAGAAACAATGCAATATTTACACATGTGTGTCTGATTTATTTCACTTAAGAGTGTGGTTCCACTAGGCGTGGTGGTATATGTCTGTAATCCCGACACTTGGAAGGCTGAGACAGGAGGATCACCTCCACTACAAGGCCAGCCTGGGCTACATAATGAGGTCAAGACCAACCTAAACTGCATAGTGAGACCCTGTCTTTAAAAAACCCCCACCACCAAAAAAAAAAAAAAAATGCTTTTAAAGTGCATCTTTTTACCTAGAAATGTCTCAAGTTTATCACTTTTTATGGCTGAGTAGTACTCCAGTGTAGAAAAAAACTTATCTTTATCCATTCATTCATTGATAGGCATTTGGGCCTTCTCCAAGATTTAGCTATTACAAACAGTGCTGCTCTAAACATGGGTGCACATATATCACTCTGTTATGATGCTTTTAATTCTTTTGTGAAGATACCAAGAAGGTGAAACCTAGGTCAAATGAAATCTCTAGTTTTAGTTTTTGGAGAAATCTCCTCACTGATTTCAACAGTGGTTGCACCAGTCTACACTTGCAACAAGCCCCTCCAGCATTTGTTGTTGATTTCTTGATAACAGCCATACTTTCTGGGGTGAGATGGAATCTCAGTGTTGTTTTAATTTGCATCTCTCTAAAGACTAGAGATGTTGAAGATGTTTTTCATGTATTTATTTCCATTTCTATTTCTTCATCAGAAGAAGTGTGTATTTGAATTGGGTCTTTAAATCTGGGGATCTGATTTTTTTTAGTTCTTTATATATTCTAGATATTAGTCCTTTGTTTGAGGAATGGCTGGCAAAAGTTTTTCTCCCACTTGGTGTGTTATCTCTTTTCTCTGTTGGTGATTTTTTTGCTGTACAAAAGCTTCTTAATAAGATGAAATCCCAGTTGTTGACTTTTGTGATGTTTCCTGTGAGATCAGGGTTTTGTTCATAAAGTCTTTGCCTATACCAGTGTCTTCAAGAGTTCTACCGATTCCAGCAGGTTTAGTGTTTCGGTTTTAATATTTAGATCTTTAACCTATCCCAATTTGAGTTTAATGCATCATGAAGGATACTGGTTTAGTTTTAATCTTGGGCATGTGGAAAGCCAGTTCTTCCAACACCATTTGTTAAAGAGGCTACCTTTCTCCCAGTGAAGTTGTTTGGCTGCTTTATCAAAGATAAAGTGTTTGAGAGTGTTTGGAGTTGGTTCTGCATGTTCTAATCTGTTTCACTGATCTTAGGGTTTTTTGTTTGTTTGTTTGTTTCTTTTGTTTTGTTTTTGTTGCCAGAACTATGCTGTTTTTACCACATGAGCTTTGTAGTATAATGTCAAGACAAGGATTGCAATAGCTCCTGCCTTGTCTTTGTTGTCCAGAATTGTTTTGCTATTCTATGTCTCTTCTGGTTCCAAATAAATTTTAGGATTGTTTTCTCTAATTACATAAGATATGCTATTGGGATTTTGCTCAAAATTGCATTAAATGCATATAACAATGTTGGAAGTATGGCCATTTTCACTATATTGGTTCTTCCTAACCAAGAACA